GGGGCGGTAATAGTGGAGACCTCCCAGGCAGGCTGGGATGAAAGTCAGCACAGGGAGTGCTTTGAAGATGAAAAGCACCCGTGTGTTCTCCCAGGGCGGCCTCGCGTGGCACTGCTTCCCTTAGCATCTTGAGTGCCTCCTGGGCCAGGGACTCCTCCTGCTTCTCACCATGGTGGCTGGGACAGCACCAGGGACTTTCCCTGGTGACTAGGACTTCCATCTAGCACTTGAGGTCCCCAAAAACGCCCTCATGAGGAAGCATTTCCCTCCCTAGCCGGCTCCTGCACTGTGCATGTCCACCCAGATCTGCTGCCTGGGGTGCAGGATCCACCCAGCTCCTGCTTGGGGTATCGTCAGGTCTAGCTGCTGGGGATGTGGAGGGCAGGATGTTGTGGCAGGACGTGGTGGCAGGACACAGGGATGGCATCGGGCCATGAGTCAGGCTGACAAATTGCTCTGGGGAGGACACACATACCCAGGGAATCCTTAATCACGGCACATGGGGCATGGGGTGCCTCCCCGAGGAAAACACCCCGGAAACCAAGGAGTGACAGGGACCCTGGGCACCCACTCGATGACAGGCTTTTCCCCTGGGGAAATCTCTGAGGGAACTGGATCCCTGCCGGTGGCTGGGACCGGCTGTGCTGCTGGATTCCTCAGCCTGGCGTGTCTCAGGGCTTGGTCTAAATTTGCTACTATGGTTAGGGAGAAGGGGGGGCTCCCCCCAGCTCCCCACCAGGCATGGTCTGAGAGCCACATGTCCCCCAGGCGCTGCTGGTCCTTGGTGTGGCTCTGATGTGCCATATCCTGTGTGGCTGGGACCCGACGTGGCCATCCAAAGCCCTGTGTGCTCATGTGTGCATGCATGATCAGGTGCACACGTCCAAGGATTGACATGCATGCACGTGTGTTTGTGTGCATAATTTCCGTGTGTGCACACAGATGAACGGACAGCAGCTGTGTTCCCAAGGCAGGAGCCTCCATTTGACCCAACAGCCATGGAAACCCCTGCATGAAATCCCAGCACAGACGTGTTCAGGCTCGTGTGCCTCTCTGCATTGCCCCCCTGTCGTATATCCTCTCTGGGGACAGC